GAAAATATTCGCTTTGAGAAAGATAATAGTACAAGGAAAAACTCTCAAAAAAATTGACAGGTTAGCAAAATACATTTATTACATAGAAATTAGTTTAAATACAAGTTTTTTAAAGAATTAATACCGAAACAACAGCGAAACAAACATGTTCATGCATTGAGAATATAAATTGTTCAGAAAAGTTTGCAACGAAAGACAAATGAATTTGCAGTCAACAAGCACTTACTATATCAAACATCTGTATAATATATCTGAGCTTTTCTGTGAGATATACCGGTTCTAAAACCATTTCTTTCACTTTGTCTTCGAGTTGTAAAACAAAACTGGTATTTCAAATTTTCAACATGCAAGCGGTTTTTTGCCGAACAAATTGTCAAGATATTGTAACAGAGGATAATTAATTATTGCTTCAATTCAGTTAATGGCTATTAGACTATATTATAAAACAATTATACCATTTGCTCTCGTCGTATATGGCTGATAGCCGATATACCACTCGAGCTCATGGTATAATTGTTAAGTATACTGCCATGTATATAGCTGTGTTAATTCTCCTCTCGGCCAAGCTGTTTTTCGGCTGCGCAAAAATGGCAAGCGTGAACTTTCACATGTGGCCTTTAATTATCAGTGCATGCATGCATGCATGCAAGCACCTTTTCTGCATGTTTAAGTTTTGATACGTGTAGAGTTGAGAAACGATGTTAAGCCTCGACTGATCATGACTTTACTTTTTCAAGTCTGATCAAAATATCTATGCTTAGAACTGATCCAAACTGCGTTGTTAGATAATATAATAAAATCAAAATAAAACTAGTAGAATAAACAGAGAAAAATTGAATTTGACATTTTTTGCAGAGTTAACACCTTCGGTAACATACATGTACAACTTACCCGTGTGGATGGTTAGGTGCATTGGGTGGGAGGCCTGCCGTTTGTATACCAGATACTTACCATTACTTGGATTCAGGTCAAGCTTCCAAGTATTGACCTGACCACCCGTTTGCACCTATCACACCGAGTTACTCAGTGGAACGCAAACAAACGATGAAGAATTAAGAATCAGAGTGACAAGAAAATTTTTTTTTCCTAGGTTGCGCTTACAACTGCTTGTCAAGCTGCGCTTCTCACAATGATGCAGGCAACGCCTGTTGTGCTTCCTGCCTTTAACGCCTAGGTTCGGCCCATGTTCCGCGCGCTATGTTACCTTGTTGTTAACCTTCCTTATTGCATAACCTCATTTAACACCTTCGGTAACATACATGTACAACTTACTCGTGTGGATGGTTAGGTGCATTGGGTGGGAGGCCTGCCGTTTGTATACCAGATACTTACCATTACTTGGATTCAGGTCAAGCTTCCAAGTATTGACCTGACCACCCGTTTGCACCTATCACACCGAGTTACTCAGTGGAACGCAAACAAACGATGAAGAATTAAGAATCAGAGTGACAAGAAAATTTTTTTTTCCTAGGTTGCGCTTACAACTGCTTGTCAAGCTGCGCTTCTCACAATGATGCAGGCAACGCCTGTTGTGCTTCCTGCCTTTAACGCCTAGGTTCGGCCCATGTTCCGCGCGCTATGTTACCTTGTTGTTAACCTTCCTTATTGCATAACCTCATTTAACACCTTCGGTAACATACATGTACAACTTACTCGTGTGGATGGTTAGGTGCATTGGGTGGGAGGCCTGCCGTTTGTATACCAGATACTTACCATTACTTGGATTCAGGTCAAGCTTCCAAGTATTGACCTGACCACCCAAAGTGATATCCCTATCACCAGGGTATCACCCATCCAAGTAATACCTTCCTTGTCCACCTCCCTCTCACCTCACCAACCACGGCCTGCTAGCGCTGGCTCGACTCATACAATGCTCGCCTAGTTACCGAAGGTCACACCCAGGTATGCTGTGTTGAACAAGTGGCCTAGTTACCCGAGGTCACACCCAGGTACGCTGTGCTGAACAAGTTGCTTAGTACCTGAGGTCACACCCAGGTATGCTGTGCTGAAAACTTATAACTACACAGCTTTGCATCAGTTGGATGCCTCGGGCTCGTGTAGTCATGGCACGAGAGAGTTTCCAACCATGTATTTTCGCCGTCGTAACAAAGGACTCTTCGGTTTACTTCGGGCTATCGTTTTCACGATCTTGCGGCATATGAATGTGAACGAATAATCTCTACCTATATCTGGACGGCTACTCAACGAAACTTCGAACAGACAAATTAACAAAACACGTTTTTACCTTGAGCATGGCCATAGCCCGCGAACGGGAACTGAGCCACAAAAACTATAAAAACAAAGACTTCGGACTAAGCGCCCATAGACTAAAATTTATATACATGTTTATCTGGTCAATTCATAATCATGCAAAAATTAATTGGTTTTATATTTGTTCAGACGTGGCAAATATATATACTGTTCTAGGAGAGCCATTCCCCTGTCTCTATTTTTGTTAATGACCAGCTACTAAAACTGGTTATATCCATGCTGCAGCACGAACGAATCTTTATGTAGTTTTGAGCAAGTAAAATATGCGTGCATCCACTCAAATCAATATTTTTTTGTGATGACGAGATGACAACATTGTTATTTCCTCTTACAAATATCAAAACAAATATGTGACTTCTTAGAAGAACCATCCTTGTTACTAGGAAACATAGAATCACTTTCGTTTGCGTTATTATGTAAAAAAGCTTGTTTTCCTAGTTCAAAAATGGAATATTCGGTAAAAGCAGCATCTCGCATGTTCATGGGTTTAGCGGCGGCTGCGCTAATTAAAGCGACGAGATTTTATACCTATGCCAGCCAAGGTCTTATTCTCCGACTAAATCTTCACCATATATAGTACCTAAATTGTGTTGATGAGGTTTCTATATGGTTACGCATAACTGAATTAACATCTGCTTCTTCTAAGAAAATGAGGCACGGGGATTTCCCATGAAAATCATATGACCTGCAGTCATAAATATACTTTCGAGTACTTTGTTTTTTCCAATAACATTTACAGTCATTCTTTCTCGCGGTAAAAATGTCTGTCCTGGCTATAGGCCAGCAGATTAATGTGGGGCAGCTACCACTTTTCGTTCAGAAAGAACTCGGCAGTGGAGCATTTGGCACAGTGTATATGGTATCTGACATACAACAACCGAGAGCATATTATGCGTTAAAGGCAGTTGTTTGCAAAGATTCGAGCAGCGTTAGTACAGTCATACGCGAGGTTAATACATTGGCCAAAGCAAGACACGAGCGAATCGTCCAAATCCTCGCAGCTGATAGTCGCACACTCTCAAATTCCGACTCTTTATTCCTGATCTTAACAGAGTTCTGTTCCGGTGGAGACTTGAACTCTCAATTAAACAACACCAGCACCCCAGAAACAAATCTAAAATGGATCTCTCAGATTTCCGAAGCCTTAAGTTACTTACATTCTCTAAACCCACCAATTGTACACCGAGATCTGAAAGCTGACAACGTCTTACTGACAGACCAGTGGTCACAAGATCTAAAACTCGGAGATTTCGGTTTAGCACGAGAATATCTTGCCATGAACAACAACGATGGTAGTCCTCAGTCGGCACAGACGTACTACATGACTTCTGGTTGTGGTCCTATGCACTGGATGGCTCCAGAGTTCTTTCTTAATCATTATACAGAGAAAGCAGATGTCTTTTCACTTGGAGGGATTTTCTACGCCATTTTGATACGTGATTCCATTCAAGTTGGCTGGAAAAATATGTATGGTGTGTTTCTGACCTACCCATATCCGAATGGGAAAGTTGGACTTGGATATGCCATGGCAGCAATTAATCCAAATGCGAAAGTATCGTTACCTGCTTCTTCCTCTGGGTGGTCTAGCTCCATGCTGCAATTGATTGAAAACATGATGGACTATCATCCTCATAATCGACCAAGTGCAAGTCAAGTCAAAGCAAGTGTAGCAAATATTCGCTCTTCGACCCAAGCGGGCATATTTCCACCCAATTGGGGATATTTCCAGCCCGGTAACTAATCTGGTACATTTGCTGGGGTTAAATTTGAGCAACTGCATCTAGATCTGCATCTAGATACCGTATTCGTGCAAGAGAGACGCTTATTATCAGAGATGCTTAGAGAAAGTAATTACACAATGTGACAATGGCGCTAATACAATTTAAACTTTAACACTATAAAAAAGTAAAGGAAATAATAACATTTGATTGTGTTTATATTTTATGTATAGAACTGTACATTAAAACAATGTGTTGAATATTTCATGCTTAATGACTTTGTCTTTCTTAAGGGTATATGAGAGCCTTAAATGTTTAGGATAATTTTACGTTTATTAATTCCTATAACATTTTGTTTCGACGCATAGGATGTTCTCAGTTTGGAAATCCAACGATTGAGCTAACAAAAATTCCTGGGAAGAATGCAGAACTTGAAATATGTGCATGTCCTTGGATACTAGATTGCATGCTAATGTATACTAAAGGTTGTCAGTTTATAAAGAAACGTATATGAATGAACATAAAGGTACTGTATATCTAGTCGTATCTTTTTAGGGAGGATGAAAACTTACAAGGTATGTAAGAGCACAGAATACTATACACAGAAGGCCATCTCTATTGTTTTTCGCGTAAGCGCTATTCGTCGTGATTCGTCACTCAGCAAGTAACCCTAAACAGCAGCAATCACTCCCCTGCCCGTCCGCCATTTTTAATATTGCCAGGGGGTGACTCCTTATATTGAAGGTACTTGCTGCATGAGTGACGAATCATGACGAATAGCGTTTACGCAAAAAACAATGGAGATGGCCTTCTGTGTTGTATTCTGTAGTAAGAGCGTCGTGAAGGGACAAAATTGAATCCCAGATATTCGGCTATTTTTTCGCTTGCAAAATTGCATTTGGATTGTTATGCATTGATTTTGAACCACAATTTTGCTGATAGAAATGTGTTTGCGGGAATCAGTGATTCGGCACAATTCTGCCTTGGAAAATTGTTCTTACTTTGATCCAATAAATTATTGGTAAAATAATATTACGCCAAGTTGTGGCGTTAGACACATGCAAGACGTCCTAAAGTTGCTAAATACGACATGCCGCCGGCATCATAAAGTGTTAAACAGAGTTAAATTAAGGCCGCGGGAAACAGCGATTCACGGCTCAAAATATTTTGCTAAATACATTTTTGGGGGCTTCGGTGGCCAAGTGGTTAGCGCACTTGCCTTTCACCTCTGAGGCCGCAGGTTCAAGCCCCAGTGAGTACTTTCTCAATGTGAAAAGAGCCGTAAAGTCAACGCTCTGCTGAACATGGTTCCAAGAGTATACTAATGAACTGTGACGATAACGTACGAAGCATTTGCACATCTCGAAGGGCATTATGGGCATCATATATTATGCGCTGTCAAGCAGATCTTTAGCAAGATTTTCTTGACTGAATGATTGTCTATCAGGAAACAGTTCCCGGAAAGCAGGTAAGGTATCAAGGAACCCAACAACCATTTGGCGAAATTCTTCCACATTGTTACACAAGCTCAGCGCTTTCATTAGATGTTTTGCATCGAAAGTCTTTACATTGTGTGCCAACAAAAATGCATGGTACTTTCTTGTTCAGCCAGGTCAAGAACTGAGCCAAGGCTTCAGCCAAGCTTAGAGCCCTCACAGGTTTCTTTTCATGATAGAGGATTTCGTTTATGACGGTGAGTTTAATCACGGCTGATGCCTCAAGTGTTATACCATTTTGCGGGATGACATATATATTAAATTTTTCCTGTCCATCTGTAGCAGCAATTTGACAAATTTCTGCATCATGTCCTAAATAAAAAAATATTTCAACAGGTAACTCACAGAAATGAGAGAGCACTATGGACAAGCTTGCACACATAATTGTTTGTTAGTTTTTTCCAAATATACAAAGAAATTTTCTGTTTGTTTATTGTCAAATATTTTGTGATTTTACTTAAAAAAGATTCCTCTGGTCTGTCTGGAGATAAGGTTTGGCAATCTATTTATAGAAAGTACATAGTCAGTTTACAATACCACGTGACGACGTCTCCAAATCAAACACTACTCTCTTGAATATTTTAGTAGTGGAAACTTTGTTTGACATCTGGAAATTGGACAGGAGGAGGAATCTCCTCTAAAACATTCCTGTACCACATACCACTTTGATATTGTGGACCTTCTCTAACTTCTATCTGCTTGGTTTTAGAATCTCTCTTTTATTTCCTATGCCTTCTTGTCTTTTGGGGGGTAGGTATTTTTCGAGTTAAGCCCTTCGAGTTAAGCCCTCCGAGTTAAATATTCAACGAAATATTCCCCATACATAAACAAAAAATTTTCCGGACAATACAAGCAAAACATTTTTTCCAGAATACATAAGCAAAAATTTTTCCGGATAATACAAGTTAAACATTTTTTCCACACACCGAATTCTTTAATTTTTTTCAGGAAATAATCATTTCTGGGCCTCGTTTCCAAATTCTCGGGCCCCTCAGGAACAATTGGGACCCCTTCCAGATTTCACTTTGGGGGGTGTCACACCCCCACACCCCCAGTAGGAACGGGTCTGAGTATGACCTCTAATAAATAAAATAAAATAAAATAAATAAATAAAAAATTTAGATACTCACTGTTGGCACATAATCATGTCCAAGGTTCTTTTGACTTACAGCGCATGCTACCCGGAAATCATTGACCTGGCTTGATCCGAGAGGAGTCAATTTCTCTGAATTTTGAACAAACATTTCGAGAATTTCTTAAAGGTCTTGTTTTAAAGTTTCTCCTTACAAATCCTTTCCATGTGGTAGGGAACTGCGTTTGTAAGTGGTTGGATTATTAAGGTAGCCACATCAGGTGATGCTGCGTTGTTCATGCTCTCCAAATGCGTGAGGAACAATTGCCTTTAGACTTCTCGTCAACTGTTCTACATTGTCCTTGTTTTGTTTTGTTTTGTTTTGTTTTGTTTTGTTTTGTTTTGTTTTGTTTTGTTTTGTTTTGTTTTGTTTTGTTTTGTTTTGTTTTGTTTTGTTTGGCTTTGTTTTGTTTTGTTTTGTTTTGTTTTGTTTT